CTGTCCCCATCAGATTAAAGACAGGGGGAAGCAAGCCGCAACCGCACTGGGCTTCTACCCACAAAACCGCAGTCCAGCCAACCCTGCTGAAGCCCCGAGCCCCACCCTGCCTCAGGGTCTGGCTCCTGCTGGTCCTTCAGACTGGGTCACTCTTCCTTCCAGTGGCTGGCCCCTCTTGCCCTGCCAGGAGGGAGCTCAAACCCTGCTTCTCTGAGACCATCCACGGCTCTTTTCACGAATGCAGTCTCCCACTCCCCTGGCTCCTCACTGTCACGTTAACCCCGTTGGATTCCTTCACGGGACTGTCACAGTCTGAAGTTTCCAGTTATTGCCTTGTTATTTACCTAGTTATTGCCCCCACCACTGGCATGGAAGCCCACAAGGACAGGGTCCTGCCTGTCTAGTCCGTCACCGGTGCCTAGCACGCTAACTAGCACCTAGTAGGCTGCCCAGTAAGTTAGTGAGTTAATCAATGGATTTCCAGGGTTCCGGCTGCAACTATACCCCTTTTTCTCCCACTGTAGAAAGACTACTTGAGTAGTCGTATGCTTTATTACAAGATTTGTATGTCAAGGTCATACCACAGACCAATCACCAGAATACCCAGTGTGGGAACCAGACATCAGTATTCGAAGGGCATCAGGTGGTCCCAGTGTGCGTCCGAGGCTGAGGTTCAGTGACCTCGAGGCCACAAGTGTGGCCCTTGGAACCAGGTGACCTCTGTCTGTTTCCCAGATGGGCTGCTTCTCAGATACAAAGCCGGGGGCTTCTTCCCTACTCCCTTGAGCCTGTTCTAATGCATTTTTTTCAAAGTAAGTAAATTTGCAAATGTCAATATCTTATTTGAACAAATTACATGGGATACACGAAGATGTCACAGCCCCAGACTGAGACTTCCTGTGCTGCAGAAGCAACTGGTCCTTTTTAAAACCCAAGTATATTATGATCCATTTCAGGGCATAAGAATACACCTCTTGCCCTGGCTGGCATAGCTCAGTGGATTGAGTGTGGGCTGTGAACCAGGCATCGTAGGTTCGATTCCCAGTCAGGGTACATGCCTAGGTTGCAGGCCATGGCCCCCAGCAACCACACGTTGATGTTTCTCTCTCTCTCATTCTCTCTCTCTCTCTCCCTTCCCTCTCTAAAAGTAAATAAATAAAATCTTTAAAAAAAGTAAAATAAAAAATTGGTTTCTTTAAAAAAAATAAAAAGAATACACCTCTTAGTATGCCCAAAGAATGTCAGGTAGGGTTTGATACCTACAAAGATGGAAATGTAACCTCAGAGGAGCACTCCTATTTCCACAGAATTAGTGTGCTGTGTCTGTGGCCAGGAGAGGGTTTGGGTGTTCTTTGGAAAGAGAGACCTGGTGCACAGTTGATCCTTTCCTGGTCGTCTGACACGTGCTGGGCACGGAAACACACAAATATAAATAAGGTTGAGTCCAGATCTTTCGGGACGGAGACCCAGCGAGCGCCACGGCCTAGGTACTCAAACAGGGCCCTACAACGGTCGCTGGCATTTACCCACACTGCACTCAGCATTTCACGTGTGCTAGTCATTCCATCCCCGAAAGCATCCCGGGAGGTGGGTGTTCTTGTTCCCCATTCCACAGATGAGGAAAATAAAGCACAGAAAGGTTAAGTAACTCGCCTAGAGCCCCGCAGCTTCTAAATGACGGAGCCCTTACTCAGACCCAGACGGCCCAACTCCAGAGCCCTCGAACTCGGCCCTCGTGCTGTGTTGTCAGGGGAACAAAGGCGCAGGAAAGATCACTTCTGGCCGCAGGAAGGGGGTGCTTCCTGGGGAAGACAGCTCTAGTGTTTGCCTTGAGAGATGGGCAGGCTTTCGAGAGGCAGAGATGGGAAGAGGATGTTTCCTGGCAAGTGGGTGGCAGCATCAGTGAAGATCTGGAATTAGGAAAACACTCTGGAGCAATTCGGGAGACATTCGGGAGACCACAGGGTCCCTGATAAGGAGGAGGAAGACGATGCTGGGGAAACGTGGGCTGGGCAAAGGCCAGATGACCGAGCGCCCACACGCCAGTGAGGACTGGACTTCCGTTAATAGCCACTCGGGAGCCAGGGAAGGTTTTTGAGCTGCAGAGGCACAGGCAGCAAGCAGAGGACAAACTCAGGGGTGAGACGGAGCTAGGGGACTGGATCGGAAGTAACGGTCTAATCCAGGCAAGAGGACAGAAACGGGCTGGGACTGGGACAGCGAGATAACAGAGGAAGTCCCAGCGTGAGGAGAGGTTATGGAGGGAACGCACCAGGACCTGGGGCTGGACTGGAACGCGGACAGCAGGGAGTGGAAGGGGCCAAAGGTGCGCCTCCTGTCCATGCTGGAAGGACAGAGACACCGTGAACTCAGATAGGGATGACAGGAACGGGCTCCGCCGAGGAAGAGGGGCCCGATAAGGTCCCCCCCCACCCCCCACCCCGGGAATGCGAGGAGTCAGCCTCATGATTCTCAAGCAGGAAGATGTTTCCATTATCTGGAGCCCGGCTCAGGGATCCTTCATGCCGCCTGCTTCCAAATTGTTCTGTGACCTTTCACCCACTGCAATTGCCAGATGCATTTGTTGTGAGAGATTTCAGGAATTTTATCTTCAGTCCTAGAAGGCTATGATGTGGTATTAAGTCCATCAAGAGTACAGGAAAGCCAAAAGTTAGTGTCTTTGTTCAAGGAATTCAAAGCAAGGTGGGGGGCAGGGGGCGGAGGTGGGAACTGCCGTCCAACTTGGGCAAAAGTTAAAACATCCTAGAATTGAATTTGAAGGCATTCACAGTTCAGGACGTGTTACTCTGACTCTGGAGAGGTGGACTAACACTCGGGGAGCGCCCAGGGCTGGACGGTGAAGCAGCAGAGTCAGGCGCAGACAGACCCTGCACTCAGAAGGACAGTGCGGTCCATGCCCTTGTTACCCGGAGTGTGGCTCACACACCAGCAGCAGCAGCAGCAGCAGCAGCGCCAACAAGCAGCAGGCCCTGCTCCGGACCTGCCGAATCGGAATCTTCAAGTTCACGAGATCTCCAGGCAATGTATAAGCAGTGGTAGGTATTAAAACTATGTGCTGTGGAATGAGACACACCTGGGTTTAAATCTTAGCCACTTCGCCTCCTGGACCTGCTTCACGGTGGCCCTGTACCTCGGTTTCCCCTTAAAATAACCTGGAGGGCTTTCGAAACACTCCGTGCCCCAGCCTCATGGCAGACACATTAAATCACAATCTCTGGGGGTGGCATCCAGACATCAGTAACGGTCTCCAGGGGCTTGTGGCCTGCATCCAAGTCTGAAAGCCACGGAGGCCTTCCAGGGACAAGAGTGTGGCCACTGGGACCAGACTATCTTCACTGGCCTCCCATGTAGGACTGGGGCTTCTTAACCCCTCCCAAGCTTTCGTGCCTTCATCTGTGAAATGGGCGTGACATACAACAGAATCTCCTCCGAAGGCTGAGCGCTAGTGACTCATGGAAAGCACCCGGCACACAGCACACTGTGCAAGTCCCAGCTTCCTTTGCAGAAGGAGCCTGGAAAGCAACACATAGCTTGAAGTACCACACAAATGCCAACCTGCAGCCATGTTCATATTCTCCCCATCAGAGGTCACTTCCAAGTACTTGGCCAGCAAGAGGCTAGCAGGGGTGTCCAACCTGCAGCCAGCAGGCTGCACGTGGCCCAGGGTGGCTGTGAATGCAGTCCAATACAAAACTGTAAATTTACTTAAAACATGAGATTTATTTTTGTGATTACACGTCGCAATGTATTTAATGTGTGGCCCAAGACAACCCTTCTTCTTCCAGTGTGGCCCGGAGATGCCAAAGTTGGACACCCCTGGCTGGAAGATGTTGCTGTAGCTGTTTTATAAATTAATAATCTATTATTTTCCTTCATTAAATTGGAAAATGAAGCAAAGGCAGCTGGCAAGGGACATTTGCAGAACAGGTGGGAGTAAGGGTCACCCAAAACGACCCCAAATGTGGGGTCAAATAGGGGAGGGCGAGGGGACAACAGACCATGCAATGCTCTGTCTTTCCTGTCCCGACACGCCGGGCCACAGGCCCACCGCTCATCTGTCTGAGGCCTCCCAGCCGTCTCCCCACTCACAGCTCCCGTCTAACACGGGCGCTGGGAAGGCCTCGAGAAAGACTCTTATGCGATGACTTCACTGTTTTGAACTCGGCACAGTGGAAACCAACACCCGGGGTGTTGAAATGACTTATGCAGGGTTCTGTGTAATTTAAGGCCACAGCCAGGTGTAAAGTGACCCAGTCAGATGCAGAGGAAATAGCCTAGTAGTGAAAAAGAAATTGAATGAAAGGGAAAATAAAGACATAATAGTGCTTTGAACCAGGGCTTTATAAATACTTGTGGCTTTAACCTGCCCAGGAGATAGATAAGCATGTTCCCTTCAGTTTGTCCTCAAATTCAACCTCTCGCAAGAGGTTAAGGAACACACCCAAGGTTGGAATTGACACTCGGACCTCCCGACTTCCTGGCTTTGGAGCCGAGAGCTCAGCCTCCACCTTCCCGGTCTATCAGGAGAAACATCTGGGTTCTAATGCCTGAGGATGGGATATGGAGGGGAAGTGGTGGAAGTTTGGTTCTTTAAGGAGCTCTGAGCGAGACCGCGGAGGGCCCGGCCAGGAGGCCCCTCCCGTGGCCTGAGTCACGGGCTCAGGCGTTCCTCCACGTCTCCTGTCCTGGACGCTCCCCTTGTGCGGCTCCAGGGAAACCATCTGGGAGGTTCGATGGGAAAGAGGGCCGAGACCCCAACACGTGTGAATGCACACACGCCCCCCGCCCCCCAGGAGCTGTCTCAGGTAACGAAGCCTTTCCTCTGCACAGTCGCCTCCCCGTGACCTGACGTGGCTCCCCTGCCACACCGTGGATGCCCGCGGCACGCAGGGGAACAGGCAAGACCACAAGAAGAAAAGGCCAGGGGAAGTCATCTTTAAAGGCCGAAAGGTTATATAAAACATAATAAAATACAACTGTTTCCTTCAAACTTTTTAATGGCCAGGAAATGGTATAGAATAACTGCCAAGTCACATAAACGGACTCTTTGTTACTGCGTGTGACCCCGGAGAGAACGCCCTCGGCGGACGCAAACCGCGGGTGAGGACCCCGTCGTCGTCCGGGCGCGGGACCGAGTGTGGGCCGTGGACCGCCTTCACATGGTCCAGAAGTACAGGCGGCTGCCGTGCTTGGCAGGCTTCAGGTCTCCTTCCACCTCCGGGTTGGGCTCGGGCCGTGGTCTCGAGTGATAGGGGTTCTCCGGTAAGGGGCGGTCTGTCTTCACTTTGGTGACCTGCGAGGCGCAAAGCGGAAAGAAGCAAAGGTGACAGTCAGGTGGAGTAGTCTGTGACCACGGACGCACCACCCACTGTCTCCGAGACCCCGCCCCAGCAAACCCCGCTCGCTCTGTGCCAGTCCACACGGCACAAGTCAGAGACACAGAGGGGGACAGGGTACACAGCCACCAAGAGGCTCACAGGCTAGTGAGTGAGCCAGACGAGAAAACCAACCCGGAGACGAGACTCCCCACGCGAATCACCGTGGCTCAGACGAGAACGTGTGCTGGCGGAGGGAGGACTCTGCACGTCTGACCCGTCCTGGGGGCTCGGGGCCTGGACCACTTCTGAGGGGACAGTGTTTAGCTTAATCTTGAAGGGTGGCCAGGGGCCAGCAGAGGACTAGGGGGGAAGAGGCATCCCCAGTAAACACGCAGCACACACGCGGGCAGAGAGCGTGTCTTTGCTGCACCAGTTGTGCAGCGAGAGGGAGCACCTCCCTAACCACCACCTGGTGCTGTCAGGAACGATGCCGGGCACGTTGTCCCACCTCATTCTTGCCCCTGAGGTCCCTGTGCAGCACTCCCTGAGGCTGCCGTGCTAACTCCCAAAGCCCAATCTGCACACTCTAAAGCTCGTGCTTTTCAATGACCCTGGCAGGGAGGGGCCAGGTGGTGAAGGGCACTGAAGGATATGCAGAGGTGTGTGCAGTTTAACCTGACGATGCCCTGAAGCAGCGGCGTAACTAAAAGGTACAGATGCTGAACTGCACAGTGACAAGAAGTGGAGAGCTGTGCCAACAGGCCAGGCAAGAGGGTGGAACACTGAACTGCGGAACAGGGAGAGGGAGGGAAGGTGTTCACACCCACACGACCCCCAGACGGCCACAAAAGTCCACACTGGAAACCCCGCAGAAACTGTTCTCCTTTTAAAGATGAGGGAACAGGCCCAGAGAAGACACATGGCCACAGTTATTACCAGTCCAGTTACCTGGTGGTCTGAACTCTAGGTCCCTCCATGTGATAGGACCAGATCAGCCTTCCTGTATTAGCAGAACATTTACCATGAACAGGGCTTTCATGTGCACAATGAACAATTATCACTATAGCCACCTACGAGGCATTATTATCTCTAGTTCACAGACGAGGACACGGGAGGCTGACCTGCCTGAGATAAAAGTGCCGGTCAAGGTCAGAGCTGCCACCAGAGCCCACGTCTCCCCACTACGAGTCCGCGGTGGTCGTCTGTTGGCTCGGAACACAGTGCTCTCAGCTCTCGGCTACAGTCCGAGATCACTAACGGTTCTCTACTGCTGCAGAGCGCCTTCCAAATGCCTCCAGCTGGCATTGGAAGCTCTCCTCTAAGGAAGTCAAGATATCCATGAAATAAATTGAGAAAAATGTTTCTCAAACTGAAAGTAATAGAAGGACCCCTTTAAAAGACAAGTTATTGTGGAAAGAACAGCAAAACAACTCCTCTTCTGGGCCACACTCAGAAGAAAAAAGGAGCAGAAAGCAGCACACGGTCAAGCGCGTTTCTGAGGAAATGGCCTTGGGCAGCCGACTTAACCTGCAATCCCGCGTCTCTAAAACGGGGCTGTTAGCTCACAGCGTTATTAGAATGATCCATATAAAGTGGCTGATGTATACACAGCAGTGCTCCATAAGTATTTTCAATGTTGATGTTACCAGGGTGATAGAATTACAGGTGAGCGAGCAATTCGGCCTAGGAGAGTCGGAAACATCAAAGAGGGACATGACCTCGGAGCCGAGCGGACAGTAGCCCCGGGCAGGAACTTGCTGGGGAAACGCAGGAGGGCGGCCGATCCAGAGGAGGCAGAACACACGAGGGAGTGAAGCCAGGCTCTGTCCAGCGGACTGTCACCTTTCTAGAGAGAGACTGGATACTGACTGTAGTGTGGTTAACACTGATAACACACTTAAAGAAATACTCTTTTGACAAGAGTTAAGGACAACAATAAAGTTTTTAAAAATATTAACACAAAAACTCAGAAGTGAGTATGCTTTCTTAACAGTGTGACTTGTTAATTGTCCTTTCACGACAGAGACAAATGAGAAAGGGTAGTTTTCATTGGTAAATACTAAGTTCCACCACTTTCCAACCTAGAATTACCAACTATTAAAACTGTGTTCAGTGCAGCAAAGGAAGGCATCTGCAGTAAAATAATCAAACCAGACACAAAAAACAAAAACAAGCTGCTTAGCCCTGCATCCACCTACCACGACAAGCTTACGACCCAGCGATCCGCCGGCACCACACCCCGCTCCCGGGCGGAGGGGAACCGGCAGCAACAGGGCACCGGTGCCCGCGGCAGGAGGCTGGGCATTCACACCGGCCCTCTCGCTTAACCCTCACACAAAACTCGGGATTTAACACCGTTTCCATTTGACAGACCTGGTATGATAGGAAATTCTAAGCAATTTGCTCAGGATCCCACAGCATTTAAGCAGTGGAACCGAGATGCAAAACCTGGGCTTTCCCACCACGCACCCGCTGCCCCAGAGGGAACGGAGGGCGGCGGGACTCGGAAGCGGGGCGGGGCCGGGCCGGGTCAGAAGGGCCCTCCACGGCACCACACGGAGGGAACACTGTGTCTGGCAAGCAACATGCAGCCCCCAGAGAGATTTTTTTAAAAGAAAGTGACATTTGATTTATTTCCCACACGGACTATGACTATTGTGAAGATGTAATTATTTCCCAAGTTCTTCAATTCCAGAGAATGCACTGCCTTTTAATATCCAAGTTTATCCACCTCCCCTTCCAGAAGTTCACGTAGCCCAGGTTAGGGACTGCTGTCCAAGAAGTGGGGACAGTGAGAGGATTCAGAAGCTTTCCCTGGAGACGCCGACCTACAGGAACTAACGATCGTGCAGAGGAAGAAAGAGTGAGACGTGAAGAAAAACGACATTCGGGTCTCTCTCTGAGGTTTCAACAGACGGCGGTATCCCAGGACACAGGAGCAAGTGTAGGCAAACGTGCTTTTTAAACTACGGGCATGTACTTTTTTCCCTCAGGTACGCTCTTGAGAAATCTGACGCAGCCCGACCCTATTTCCCCGCTGAATTCCCCGGCAACCTCAATGTTTGCCACTGACGGTGTGTCCCCAAACATGTTTATCCTCATCTGCTCCCTTCTGTTCTTCAACGAGCTAATTAACCACAAGCAAATCTGCTCGAGCTGGAAGGTCTATTTAAAGGAGTATCTCTGTTAAACAAACCCCCTAGGGGACTATGTATAATCACTCCCCAATTAACCTGTTGGGTAAATTTGGATTTCTCACCATCATTCCTGTGCTCACGGAGGCCCCTTTTCTGACCGCCTCCTGCCTCTACCTGCCCCTGAGTGGAAGAGCGAGCCCGCCCACAGACGCCCTCTTCCTTACCTTGGACAGCTCTCCCAGGTCAGGCCGCACCCAGCCCAGCTTGTCCAGCACACACTGGTCGAACTTTGCCTGCTGTTTGCGGCAGCGCCGAAAGAGCTGCAGGCCGGAATAATCGATGCAGGTCCAGTACTCCGTAAAAGGTTCTGCACAGTGACGCTTTATCTGCCTGGAAAAGAAGGCCAGGTCAGGGGTGCTCCTCACAACAGAAAAACAAGAACGAGGGGGGAATAAACAAGCACAGCCTTTCTCGCCTGGAGCCTGTTTATTCTTTAGTTCTAACTCTGAAGATTATCAGCTTAGCGAGTTTAGAAGAGACAGAGATGGAGACGGGCGTGCTGACAGAAGTCAGCGGGGCAGATGACAGCCAAGGAAGGGGCAGAACTCTAAACGGCAAACACACAGGCTGCGGCGGAGCAGGAGACCCCGGGAGCATTCGCTGCCGAGGCCGACTGCCTCCACTCCTCAGAAGCTCCAGATCCTCATTCTGCTGACGCACTGAACGAAAACAGAGATCACCGTGGTCACTAATAAAATTAAATCATCTTGGGTGCTGCCTGCTAAGAAGCAAGATAGAATATTAATTCATTTTGGGACCACCAAAGTAGTTAAAGAAGTACTTTTTTGTGTATAACAGGGACGAGCCTCAAGTATTTTATGGAATTGCCCTTCTTTTACCATTCACCCTTCCTGGTAATCAAGTAAATGCTAACTAAAGCGAGGATAAAATACCATCATTTTATGGAAAAGCCACATCTGAGGCTGTGGAGGAAGTGCAGAACACCCCCTGCTCCTGAAGGAACTTCTGAACAACCTGCTTGTCATACTCCAGGAATCTAGCGACACTCTACACAGGGATCTCCTTTACCACGGCCCAGGAGTCAGTCTACAGAAACACACAGTGAAAAATCTGCTCTGCATCCTTGCTCGATGCCACTGTTACCAGGTCCTCATGCACCCCTCCAGGTATTCTGAGCATAACCCTGGGGGTGGCGGAGGGCACGACAGAAGGGAAGAAGGGTGACCAAAGCCCTGGGGAACTCTGCTGCATCACCTCCAGCCCCGGTGGGCCGGATTTCCAGGGCGCACAAAACCGCACTCTCCCAACCTCCGCTTGAACGACCGTTTCCAAGGAGAGTTTTGCATCCTGAAGATGCCAGCGCAGGACAAGGCCTGCGAACCACCGCTCTGGCGCTCTGTGTCTGGTCTTGGCCCTGTCACCCCGACACCCACGCCCAACAGCTTTCTACCCATGCCCGACACAAGCAACTTCAACGTGAGGAAGTCCTCTCATGGAGGCAGTTAGGCACCTCGGGAATCTGTGAAATCCAAACTTTCCCCATGTAAAAGTACTATTTCTGAGCCAAAGGAGGAATGCTTTGTCAAAGTTCTCTTAGAAAATTAAAAATCCAGCTCTGGTTGGTATAGCTCAGTGGATTGAGAGCGGCCTGTGAACCAAAAGGTCACTGGTTCAATTCCCAATCGGGGCACATGCCTGGGTTGTGGGCCAGGTCCCCAGTGGGGCTACGTGAGAGGCAACCACACAATGATGTCTCTCTCCTTCTCTCTCCTTCCCTCTCCTTCCCTTCCCTTCCCGCTCTAAAAATTAAAAAAAAAATAAAATCTTAAATAATAAAAAAATGTTTAAAAGAAAATTAAAAATCTGGAATCATTTTTGATTTTGCCTCCTGGCGATGTTGTCAGTTTTGGCTCAAACTCTTATTAAAAAAAAAAAAGGAAAAAAAGAACAATTTAAAAATAAACAATGTTAGCAATCAAATCAATGCAAATTCAAGCAAGAATACCATTTTGTACCTACCAAATATTCAAATAATATGCAATGCTGGTGAGGTATACCAAGATACAGTGCTGAGGACAGCATAAATGGACTCAATGTAAACATGTTCCCAGCCTTTTGTAAAATAATTTCACTGCTGGGAAATGTATGCCAAGGAATTCATTAAAAAAAGAAGATCTGCACACAAATGTAATTACTGCAGATTTATCCAAAACAATCAAAGCTGGAATCAACAATGATGTTTCATAACAGGAATTGGTCAGGTACATTATGGTTAGTTTAGTCACCAGTGGAATATTATATAGCCAGTAAAAATGATGACCATGAACACAATAATAGTAACATGAAAGAATGTTCCCAAGAGTGAGAAATAAATTTTAAAATGTAGACACGCTTTGCTTTTAACCACAAAAAACCTTTGCATGTGGGCAAAGACAGCAGAAACAAAAAAGAAAAGCAGTCATTATATGACAAAATTTGATTTTTGCCTCTAATGTCCTTCTGGTGGACATCTGTGGACTTTGCCTGCCCAGTAGTCATTCCCCATCTTCTGTAACATCCTCCCATGTTTTCCTTTGGGCCACAACCCCTCCCTACCTCTCAGCAATGAGGTTTAGCTGAATCTAAGTCTACTCCCACTTCAGACCTGACCAATCACAGCATTGCCTCTCCTGCAACACAGCTGACCCAAAGACAATGCACGTGCAGTCAACCAGCCAGGCCAAGGAGATCGGTCCAGGGACCTCGGCTCACACCACTGGAGAAGTGGCCCCCTCTGTCCACGCCTGCCGAACAAGTGGCATGGCAGCTTGGAGCAGCTGGTGCCCATCTTTGCTGTAACAAGGAAAATGTCTCTTTGAAAATGAGGTCAACAGAGAAAAGCAGAAGAGATTGGGAGGGAAAGAGGAGAGGCAAAAAGACTGCAGGTCACTGTGAAATTATTTATGCCCCTGAATCCAGCCCTACCTGATGCTAGCACTATTTCTGGACTTTATGGCTGCATGAGCCAATGCCCTTTGAGTTAAGTTCCTGTCCCTTTCAATAGCGATCTGATTAATATGGCTGTTACAAACAGTTTTCCACAATTACAATTTGGGTTTTTTTTTAGTTATGGCATTAAGCACAGTGGCCTACCCAAAAACCAGACTCTGAACACACTTTCCTTTCCACGGTGACGGCGTGTTCTGTAGTAACGTAATGATGACAATCTGGTGATGGCTGCCGCACGCACTGAGTGGAACTGTTTTTCTGTGCCTTTCCCAGTTTTTCATAGCAATCCTGTCTAAGATAGGTATTAGTCTGTAATTTGGAAACTGAGATTCGTGAAGACTAAAGAACTGACCAAATAACAAAAACAAGGAACAAAAATAACCATCAGACCAACTATCTGATTTCAAAGCCTCGCACTGTCTACTAAAATTAGTCATAAGATGGTCCTTCCCTTGAATTAGCTGGATGTTCACCACGTACGTACGCCCTGACGGTTCGACCGAGCAGGCTCGGACCTGGAAGAGTCTCACCTGAAGAAGTCCAGGGCGCACTTGTTGACAAGCTTGCCCTCCTCGAGGCAGCGCCGCGGGTCCTTCTCCTCCCAGCGGCACAGCATGAACTCCTTGTTGGCCTTGTCGCACTGAGCTCCGTAGTGGTGGGCCGCGGCTTTCAGCACAGCAGAGCTGACTTTCACCTGGGGAAGGACCAAGGGGAGAAAGCCCACAGGCTCGTGACCAGGTCTTCACCTCAACTTCTCATGCTGGTCAAAACACAGGGGACACCGAGATAGCTGTCCTGACTTTGAGAAAAAAAGCAAAGACAAGGGAACTGCCACAATGACCCTTTGGAGATCTGCAGTGCTTTGGAGATCACAAAGCTCTTTCAGGCCCATGGCTTCCTACAGCTCCCTAGCGGCCTCGCTGGGCTGGCGTTACTACCCCCATTTAGACGTGTGGAGGTGGCAGTGCCAGCAGAAGCCTCAGGTCTCTGACAGAGAAGCGGAGCCTAGAAGGCAGATGGAGGCTCCCGGGACATGACGTGAGAAACCACCTCCGGGGAGCTCGCATGGGTCTCCTCTCCGGGAACAGAAGTGATGGAATATGAGAGAACATCAGGTAACACCTGTCTAACATTGGACGAGTAGACTATATGTAGTAGAAAGACACGTCAAGTTCCCAGAAGACTGCAGGATCACAGAGACGACAGACTGGAGGGGGCCAGTATGCGTTATCACTAACAATTGGAGAGCCCATCCACAGCGGCCTTCGCTACAGCTGGGCCAGCCTCTCTCACTTGCCTTCCAGAGCATTTTCTGGAGCAACGTGGGGCGCTGGCAGCTGGCTCACTGGGAACTGCACAGGCCTGGGGCGAGGCGCCAGCAGCTGCAGCAATGGTCCCACTGGCCTTTCCTGTGCCTTTTCCTGGGCCGGTACCACAACGCCTTCATTACTGTAACCTATTAGAACACTTTGTTGTCTGGGGGGACCATCCTTCCCATCACTCTTCCTTTTCAAAATTTTCTTGGCTATTATTCCAGGTGAACACCATACTCCCCCAAAATCTGCATTGGAATTACACTAAGTTTAGTTATTTAGTAAATTGGAAGGGTACTAGCACTGTTATATCATTGGGTCTCTGTTCAAATTTAGCTCCTCAGAGAGTCCTTCCTCAGTCCTCTTATGTAAGCAAGCATCAGTGGTCACCCTCTGTGTGAGTGCCGGGACGTAAGGTCCGAGGGGGTAGGGATCCTTCTCAACACAGACCCGATAAAGCTGTCAAACTATCATGACATGTATCTTTCACTACGGTTCACCAAGCACCCAAAACAGCGTCTAGCACCAGTAACGGCTGAGCACTCACTTCGGTGCCAGGTGCTGGGGACACAACAGTCACAGAAGAGCTGGGAATACGGGAGCTGTGCCCTCTCCTCCAGGCATGGCGTGTCCCCCCGCTCAGTCAGGCCACTCCCCGTCCTTTCGTTAAAACTGGCTCCCTGCACACGGGACCCCGCACACTTCCTGTTTATCCCTTGGCATGTTAGCATTTTTGTCCATGACTCTGTCTAATCATATTACAACCGTTACAGTTATCAAAGCAGTTCCTTATGACGCAAGTGCAATTTGCCGTGACAATGCTAACAAATTTGTTTAAAAATCTGTAAAATTTTGCATTAGGTTTTTATAGTAAGAGTTTACTAGGGTTAATTAAGTGGTATATACTTGTTTGCTATATTATCCATAAAGAACTGGGAAGATAAAAATCAGAATGCAAACGTTCTTAAAGCATAATATATTTTAAAAATTAAGTTAGCAGCTATCATGCCCCAAGCGACGACAGCGTCCTGTGCTTGCCTTGCCTACAAACACCGAGGCCATACCGGAGTCTAGGCACACCCGTGTGGCTGAGGGTGTAAAACAGGCAGTCACAGGGAAACGAAGGATGGGAGCCATGCACTGAATCTGCCCCGAGGAAACAGCACGCAGTGTGCAAGGTGACGCAGCAGGTCAGGGGCAACCACAGGGCTGGAGTCAGGACACCGTGACCTCCCATTGGCCACTTCCCACTACGTCACCACCACCGACGTCACCTTCTCCCCTCACCTGCTTCTTCCCTGAGACTGACGAATCCCAACAGAAACACCCTTTCACAGCGGCTCACCATGGATACCCTCTCAAACTCATTCAGCTCCCTCTGTCTCGAGGAACGTGGAATTCCAGCGTCCTTCCTCACTTGTCCTCACGGCAGCCTCGCGGCACAGCAGGTGCACATCAGCCCGCAGGTGTGGACAGGGGGGCAGAAAGGCCTTAGTCTACAACCCAACTTCTAGTCCCGTTGTCCTTCCGTTAAACCACGTCTGCATCCCTTCTCGTAGTACTTAGTCTCTACTATGCCTTGTGTTTTACTTAATTTATGTAAAATGAGGGCTAATAGCATCTATTTGATAAAACTGATTAATAATACTAAGAACAGTGCCTAGCACACAGAAAGCACATCACACATATTAGCTCGTATTTTTACTGAAAATTGTCCATGTGTACAAGGATTTTCCATCTCAAAGCTTCTGACTACTTTCTCCATAGGGTGTGTCCTAACTCCGAAGCCAGTGGGGTCCAGAATGTTTTATTTGTCTCAAATCTGCCTCTTCTGGCTTCCTCAGTCCTAATGCCAGGCTGCAAACCTGACGTGGACCCCTCACCCTTTCCTGCTGCTGACACCTCAGCTGTTGCTAAGCCTGATCAATTTTAGGCAAATTTGTTCTTTCTCCTCTGTATGCACAGTCGCCAGTTAGGCTGGGGTCATTAAGACCTCCCTCAACGATCTCAACAGCCACCAACAGCAGTCTCCCTGTTTTTCTTGTCTTCCAACCTGTCCTTCAGAGAGCTATTGGAGTGATCTTCCTAAGACAATTCTTATTTTACGCTGTGATTGTAAACAAATTAGCCACAAACCCCTTAAGGATGCAGCTTTAACAGAAGTATAAAGCCTACACTTCCTATGGGGCATTGACAGCCTTCTGGATCCACACTACCTTTCCAGCCCTCTACCTGTGACACTTCAAAAAGGGACTTCCTGCTGTTCGCTGGGGACACTGGACTGGACTCCCTGGTCCCGGGACCCAGTTCTGGTCCCCCGCCTCCTCCCATCTCCTTACCTTTGCTCGGATCCTACCCTCGCTCAGAAAGCTCTCCGCTCCATCGCTGCCCATAATTCTTACATGATGCCCAAGAAATGCTTTCTCTGTTCCTTTTATAGCCTCAGGGAATGATACAGCTGGGATCACTTCATCTTGCAAATCAAATAACTGTGTCTGCAAATGCTAAAGTGACTAATCAAGGTAATCGAGCAGTCAGGCCTAGAATTTAGCTACAACTTCAAATCCTACTCTCTCTTCTCAAACCATGTCTGCCCCTCTTCCATGGCATTTAATTAGACTTTGTCTTGTATTTTAGTTATTTATGTGATTATCTGTTCCTCAATTTAACTGTGTGAGGCCTAAAGGCAAATTTTTTCCAGATATAGAATACTTGCAGAAAGTAAAACCTCAGTTGTTTGTGGAACCAAATTAAAGTTCCAATGAAAAAATACAGCGCCTTGAGCATAACCCAGCCGCACAGTAGGGCGAAGACAAAAGACTGACTGTTGGCAACACTGGCCGCTCTCCACCACCCCACCCCCGCTTTTAGTAAATGTCACTTTATGGTAACGTCCCTGAACACCAAAACTTTCTTCATCTGAGGAAAATAACAGTTGCCATTCTCACGGGCATATAAGAGTAAGTGAAGCAATGCGGGTAAGCACTTAACACAGTGCCTGGGATATGATCTGTGGCAAATACATTTTCATCTTGCCTTCCTCTACTCCAATGGAGCCTGATCTTTCTTCTCTCTGATCCTGACACTCCTCTGCCTTAAAACCTTCCACCTCTCCCCATCCCCTCACTTACACGATAAAGTCCACACTTCTCAGTCTGTCCTTCTGGAAGTTGCTTCCCAGTCCTGCCTCAGCCCAGGTAACTCACTCGCCTCCCACCAAAACCAGGGGCTTGTCAAATAGCACTTGTCTCTCCAAACAGAAAAGATTCTGCTAAGCCTTCTCGCCCTTGAGCATTTGCCCAAAATACGGTCGTTTAAAAGTATGGCGTTTCAAATCCCAGCTGGGCTCACAGGCCAGCTCTAGCACTTACTAGCTACGTGACCTTGGGCAAATCACTTCTCTCAGGTCCTGTTCCTTACTTGCAACATGGAGAGACCAACCATATCCCTCCTCATAGTGTTGCTGGTAGGATTCCATGAATTCAATCCCGCCTGACATCTCCAAAAGGCACGTTCATGTTTGCTGTAATTAGTATTACACTGTCTGCACTTCCCATAGCACTAACTGCACTCTACTGTGATTGCCTCCCTATTAGATTATAAAGTCTATGAGCAGAGGGACACTCTTATTTTCCTGTATATGTTCATATGGTAACTATTCAAACGGTATCTCTTGGATAACTGAATGTTAAATGTCCTATTATCAAACACCTTCCCGGGGCTGTTAGCAACTTTACTCTTCCAATACCATCTCCTTTTCCTGGGGCCTCCTACCTCCCTTCTAATGCACTTTGCACCGATGATGCTGTTTTAAAGGGACTCACTCTCCCCCTTCACTGTGAGCACCCGAGCTAATATATTTGTTTTGCAGGGTTTGACTATTAAGTGACATAAAGTAAACAAAGTGGCCCTGGTTGGTGCTTAATAAAAAGTACCACTATTACGTGAAGAAGCAGGTCCCTATGGGGGAGGGGAGAGAGCTCTCGAGCCGCTGCGGGCTGGGGTGGCGCGATTCCCGGAGCTGAAAAGGGGCATCCGGGGGTTGACCTGCACAAGTGTTGGTGAGGCATGGGGTAGGGGGTCCCAAGCCCAAGGCCCGCTGAGTCGAAGCAGGACTGGGCCAGGCCCGGGAAACTTTCGGCCCTAAGTCCCGCTTGCCTGTCCTCCAGACGAGCCTCACCTCCTGCACTTTCAGTTCCTCCAGAGTAGGCAGCTCCACTATTCCCGGCATGATGTCGGTAACCCCGACCCCGGCGAGGCAGCCACAGCCGCGTCGCCCCCGTCTCCTTGAACTCCCCTTGCGACCGCCGAGGGCCACGCAGCAACCGCGCATGCGCAGCTGGCGGCACGCAGGCGCACTGCTCTGCCCATCTGCGGACCAAAGAGCGTGCCTACTGCCAGGAAGTTTTGCGAACGCCTTGGCTCCGCCCACCCCTCCTGGTTGTCATAGTGAGGCGGTATACACTGAGACTCCGGAATCCCTGCAAGCTAGAGGCGGGCGTCATGGAGTACACGGGGAGCGAATATATTGGGGAATTGGTAGATGGGAGGTAAGGGCCTCATTTGATTCATTGTCTTGAAAATCTGTGGGAAAAGACAGCTGTCTTTTTGCCTTTGAAAGGATCTTGTACCCGACACTTTCACAAATTTTTCCCTTTTAACCTTCAGAACAACAATTTCTGGCAGGATTTTTTATTCCTATTTTACAGTTCAGTAAAATGACACCCAGAGAAGTGAAGTAACTTGCCCAAGCGGCATTGCTGAGATGACATTCATTCCATACATACTTGGGTCAAGGCAGAGGCTGTGGGTCTAAAGGAAAGAAAAAAATGTAGAAGTTCAGGATTTCATTGCCAGGACTTGGCAACTGATTGGCTCCATGTCCTACTCAGAGACTGATTCCAGTCCCAGCCCAGTGCCTGGGTCCTTCCTTTAGTCCTGGCTCCAGGCTTTGAACCTGGAGATTCTGATACCATTCACAGAAATTGAGGACCCTGGGGAGAGGCTGCTTTGGAAGAGAACAGGATAAGTTCCATTTTGGGTGAGCTGGAGATATCTGTAGAAGGTGTGTAGAAGGACAGTGATGTCCCATTTGCAGTAATAAAAGGGGGGAGTCTCTAATCTCAGAGAAGAATTTAGGTAGAAGCTATGCTTTAAAATGATGTGAAAGGAGAAAGAGAGAGAAAGAGGAAGGAAGGAAGGAAGGAAGGAAGGAAGGAAGGAAGGAAGGAAGGAAGGAAAGAGAGAGAAAGGAAAGAAAAGGATACCTATTTATTAACTTATGTTTTCTGATCATAAGCCAAGTGAAAGAGCAAGAGTTAAAGGAAATGTAAACCTTTAAAAAAATGATGTGAACTCAAGCAAAGAGGTAGAAGAAAGAAGTCTTCTTTCTCCTCCGATGTCTCTCAGTAGAATAAAGGAAAAATAATTTTTGAGCTCTTAGTATATGCCAACAACCCTGGGGGTAGTGTTGTCATGATCTCATTTCACAGATGAGACACTGTCTCAGAGAGGTGACCGAGCTTGCCCAAGGCCACACAGACACGGAGAGGTTCAGCCAGGCCTGGACGGCTCAGAAGTTGTGCTTTATTTGATTGATTTCAGAGAGAGAAGAAGGGGGCAAGGAGAGAACACTGATTTGTTGTTCCACTTACTTATGCTTTCATTGGTTGATTCTTGCATGTGCCCTGACCAGGGATTGCACTGGCAACCTCGGTGTATTGGGACCATGCTCTAACCAACGAAACTGCCTGGCCAGGGCTCAGAAGCCGTGCTCTAGCCACAGTGCTCTCCTGCTTGGGGCCTCTGCCATCGTGGCATCTGTCCACGCAACCAGCTCACTGGTCTTTGTGTTTCCTTCCTTTTTTTTTTTTTTTAACTCAGTAGATGTTTCCAGAGCATCTTTTTAAAAAGAAAAACATGATTCTAAGAGCTGAGGATGCCAAGGCCTTCCTCTCAGATGATTTGATCAAATAGGGGGAGTTGAGGCACACAGTTACTACTAGGCAAGGCAGAAAGTGCTATGCATCCAACAGAAGCAAAGCAAAAGCCTGAAGAAGTTCAGAGTTAGGAGCAGTGACTTCTAGCCAATAGGGGAGAATGGAAAATGAATGAAGGAATGCATTAAAGCATATTTCTGAAGCACTTGCTACAGGTCAGGCCCTTTACTAGGAAAGCTGTTACACATTATCAGGCATTAATCTCAGGCTTACACACATGAAGAAACTGGTTAAATGGTCAACTGGTTGAAGTGTCCCTTCCCTGTGCTCCATAGGGGCCTGTCTTCCCCCTGCATGGCACTTGATTTATGTAATTGCTCAACTGTGTCCCCCAGTAGACTGTGAGCCCCACCCCAAGGGCAGGGACGCATAGGCCTGGATGGCTTTTGCATCCACGTTGTATCCAGCAAACCTGACTTCACAAGACACCTGGCCTATAGTAGATACACTGTAGATATTTATTTGTTGGAGAAAAGGAAGAAACAAAGGAAGGAAAGCAGATAAACAGAAAGGTTTGGGAAAGTATCTAAGATGATACAGCTAGGAAATGGTGAAGTAAGATTCAAACTCATGTATCCTGTCCAAGGTTCAAACTTTCCCAAATATCCCACTTGCAGTATAATGGGTAGGGTGGGGCTGGTCTTCGCAGCAAAGATGCAGAGCCAGCTGCCGGAAAGCTGCCCTGGCCCCTTTACGGAGCTCACTGTGCAGCTTTGGGCACATCCCTCTCCTCTTTGGGCCCACCGAGGGTGTTCTGGGGATGGTGTGACCTTCAGGACAAACTCTATGTGAGGGAGACGAGGAACAGACCAAACTCGGTCCCCCTTCCCCAGCCCCTTTTATATTTGAGCTTTTGAGGGAGACGAACAATTTTTAAGCAGAACATTGCTGGGATGGTAACATCTGAGGACCCCGAGGATGAGGTTGCCACTTGCTCTCCTGTGGCCGCTAGCTCCGACCCTCCAGCTGCCACGCAGGGCTCAGGGATTTCCTTCTGATCTTACAGGATGGAGGGCCATGCCGAATACATCCTCCCTACTGAAACAAGATATGTCGGGGAAATGAAGGACGGCATGTTTCATGGCCAAGGAACCCTGTACTTCCCCAGCGGGAGCCGATACGATGCCATTTGGGAAAAGGGTTTGGCTATTAAGGTGATCAGCCTGGGAGGGGGGCTGCAGAGGGGAAAGCCTCAGATAGGAGGACACCCCCACCCCCTGCACATACACACGCACATGTGAGACCCTGCCTTCCCTATCTGGTGCCACCTTCTTCTTTCCTCTTAATATCCGGGGCTCTGGGGACCTCTCCCTGTGGATCCGGAAGGGCCCCTGGAGAGGCCACGATGAGTCTGAATCCTGTGAAGCCACTAACTGTGTGACCTTGAGCCCATGATTTCCCCTCTGAGACTCGTGCTCCTTGTCCAATAAATTAGAAACAAGGGTTGTTTTAGTTTCCTCTTGCTGCTGTTACAAATTACCACAGATCCAGTGCCTTAAAACAGAAACATTTACCCGACAATTCTGGGAGTGTCTGAAGTCTGAAGCAGGCCAGCAGTGCGGCATTCCTTCTGGAGGCTCTGCGGGAGGATCCGTTTTCTTGCCGTTTCCAGCTTCTAAAAGCTGCCTGCGTTCCTTGGCTCACAGCCACCCATCGCTCGGACCTCCGCTTCCATCTTCGCCTCTCCCCTCCCTTCGCTTTTGTCATCGCCTTGTCTTCTCCCTGACTCTCTTGCCTCCCTCTTATAAGGCCCCTGGTGATTGATTCCACTGGGCCCCCCAGATAGCCCAGGATAATCTCGCCACTTCAAGCCCCTTAACTTAATCCCACCCACCAAGGCCCCTTGCTGCGCATAGTCAGCGTATTCACAGGCTCCAGAGACTGGCCGTGGGCGTCTTTGGGAACCGTTACTCAGCCTGCCGCAATGGTACCGGGCACCGCCAGGGTGGCTGTGAGAGTCAATGAGTGCTTTTGCTCAGTATATGCGAGTGCTTTGCTCAGTCCCTGGCACACAGTAGGCACTCAAGAAGTGTGAGTTCTTACTGCCACCACCGCCGCTACTATCCTGATAAATCATCTAATCCAAGGATTCTTAACCTGGCATTTGTGGATCACAAATAGATTTCGAGGAGTCAGTGGAAGCTCCTGACTTCTGTTCAAAAGTTTCTGTGTGTATGAGACTACCTGTTTCTCTGGGGAAAGAATCTGTAACTTTCATCAGTTTCACTAAGGGTGTGTAGGGGGCTGGCTCCTGACCTAGAAAAGGTTAAGAAACATTCCTTGTCTTACAGCTTGAAGAATCTAAGCCCCAGGAAGGGGATGTGACTTACCCAAGGTCACACAGTGAGTTAATAGTATTGGAATTTCCACCCGTGTTTCCTGAGGCTCAGGCCAACTCGCTGTCTGCGTCCTGGGGCTTCCTTTAGTCCTAAGGCAGCAAAAGCAGCATGTAGGTGTCTGGACAAAGGGCCGTGACTGATGGCTCTGACCTTGTGAGCTATGATAACAATAAGAGAATGATAATAACAACATTGAGTGCTTACTACACTCCAGGCACTGTGATAAAAGCCTTGCACCTACTAGTTCATTGAATCAACCCTATTTAATATGTAGTGTTATTATCCTAATTTTACAAATGAGGAAACCAAGGGCTAGAGAGGGTAAGTCATCTGTCCAAGGTTACATTTTGTCACATGTCGGGTGCCAGGCACGGGGCCCAGCACTGGATCTCTGTCACCACAGTTGTGACAACTGGGATCCGTGCCACTCCTTTTCTGTGGCAGTGAGAGGGCCACCTCCATCCTTGACGCCTGTCCTTCTTGGTGAAAGCAGGGCTTCCTCAGCGCCGCTGCGTGCTGCCTGTCTTCCAGGGCACGTACACCTTCTCGGACGGGCTTCAGTACGATGCGAAGAACTGGCATTACTGCGACAGCTACGATCGGAGGTTTTACACGGAGATCTGCCACGGCCTGAAGCCTACAGGTACCCAGGCACCTTCGCTCCCACACTGAGAGGGGGACGGAAGTCAGTTTTACTGAATGGGCCGAGGCGGACTGAAGTAACCCAAAGGAGAGGCAGGATCGAGCAGGGGCCACAGAACACAAAAGACACGGGTTCTGGAGCCACAACGGGCAGACAGTAAATCCCAAATGACGGATGGGAAAGACTTTGCACGGTGTAAAAGTGAATCCTGACTTTCTGAGATCACGTGGTGCAGCGGGCAGAGTGTGGAGCTGGAGGTCTGGGTTTGAGTCCAGCCTTCCCTGTTAAGAGCGGGGGTGGCGGGGGGTGGGGAGCCCAGGCAGGGCGCCCCCATGAGGGTGGAAGTCTCCAGGAAGCACCCAGGGCTGGAGGCGGGCTGATCCGAGCTCAACCCTGCTGTGTGACCTTGGACCAGTTAGTTGGCCAGGGGAGTCTTCTTCTCTCCCTCTTCCCGACACCTCGGTCTCCCATTGTCTTCCCACCCCCAGTCCCCTTTGCCAGCTCTTCATCCCCCAGTTCCTAACTGTGGGGACCCCCGGGCCCTCCGGCTCGGCCCTCTTCCATCATTCTGTGCAGTCTCCCTCAACAAGTTGATTCGCGCCCAGGCCTTCAGTGACCATCTGCCTCCAGACTGAAATCAAACCCCGATTTTCCGATTCCTGCATCCAGCTGCCCCCTCACCTGTATGTTCTCATCCCTCAACGTGTCTGCGCTGAACTCGTTACTTTCCCACCAGCTGTGGCTCCCCGAGAGATGCTCATGCCCATTCCCTAGGTCAGCCTAACCCCGCCTTCTTCTCCTCTCTGTACACTCACGGGTCCTGTGGAGTCTGCCTCTTAAGTGTGTTCCACTCACTTGTTCAGTACACAAGCATTTACTGAGCACCTGCCCGTGTGAAGCCGAGTTTCTGTCTTCCCCTCTGCCCCTGCCCTGCTCCACCCCTCCCCGCTCCTTTACCTGCGCTCCTGAGATCCACGCTTAACCCACTCTGGGCTGTTAGCACTCTGGAGTCACTGTCATCTTGGAAAAATGTGTATCTGATTGCCAAACCCCCACCCTTCTCTCTCTCTCTCTCTCTCTCTCTCTCTCTCTCTCTCTCTCTTACACCCCCCGCCCCCGCCCTTGCAGTACCTCCTCACTACCCTGAAGTTAAGGTTCCCAGCTCTTAAAATGACCTGCGTTTTCTGGCTCCTGCTAAGGTCTCCAGCCTCGTCCTGCACTCTGCCCTTCTCAGGTTTTCTCTCTCCTTTGCCACGCTCGCTTTCCGTCTACTCCTTCCTACCAGCCCTCTGCCAGGAGTATTCTAGCCCTCTCGCTTCTCCCAGGTAGGTAACTGCTTCCCACCCTCCAGGTCTCAGCTTACTGTTCCTTTCTCTCGGACCCCTTCCCTGGACTCCCAAGGCCAGGCCTGCCCAGGGCGTGCACTGGGCATCTCTCTTCCCAGTGACTGTGAGCTCCCTGAGGGCGGGGCTTGGTCTCATTCCCCACTGTGTCCCAGGGCCTAGGACATTGCCTGGCCCAGAGCAGGTGCTCAGTAAAGACTTGTCACCAAACAGGGACGATACTATGGACATCACAGTACAGGGTGGCAGGGCACACTCTGGGCAGCTGTGGCAATGACACGGACACTTCCTGAGCACCTGCTCTGGGTCAGGCTCAGGCTGGGCCCAGGGGACCGAATGCTGAGAGGACACAGCCTTGGACTTCAAAAAGCTGCCAGTCTAGACGCCACTTAAGAAACCGGTAGGGGGCTCCTCCTTGGGTTGGTTATGGCAGGGCCTGGACTTTGTCATGGGCTCTTCCTCCGGACAGACAGAGCCCTAGAAGCTGGGAGGCCCTGACCACAGGCCCCCCACTCTCGAGCAGCGGCTGGTTGGCCAGAGCTGGGCCTCTGCTAGACTTGAAGGCAGCGTGATGACTTTCCCCACACCCGGCCCTTTTCCTCCTGTGACTCCCAGCAGAGCAGCTCGACCCTAAGCACCCACCTCCTTCCCAGGGCACTCAGCACTCTGCAGACCTCTCCTACCTCTGCCTCTCGGCCCCAGGGCGGGCACTGCTAGGGCTGGGAGAGGGTTAAGGCTGCCCTTCACCTGTCTGAGGTGGCCGTGAGCATGAGGCTTCCGGGAGAGAATGGCTAGACAGCACTCGGTATGGAGCGTGTGCCCAGTAATTGTTAGCCAATGGTGTACCTAGTCATCATTGTTCAGCAACGTAGGAGCGCCTGTGGCGTACAGGACCCTGAGCTGTGAGCATGGCGCCAGGCCCAAGGACAGGGATTGAGGAACCACAGATTATGTGAAACCCAGGAAGTTACCGATCCCACCCCTGTGTCCCTTGCTCAGGCCTCAGCACTCCGAGATATACAACACACAGAGGGCGTGACCTAAAAGGTGCACCGAGTCCTCTTTCTCTCGTGCTGGGTCCAATGTCCCCCAGTCCTGGGAGGGTGGGGGGTGGTACCCAGGCCCTCTCTTCCCCTGGCATCAGCAACTTGACATATAGATTACAAAACTGGGCATCTAGCTGCTTCCTAGCTAGATAACCTTGGGCAAGTTACTTGACCTCTCTGAGCCTCAGTTTTGTTATCTGTAAAACGGGGCCCCAGGGCTGCTGTGAGAGTGAAGGGAGATGGTAGGAGTCAAGTACTTAGCAAAATACCTGGCCGCTAATGAGCACTCAGTAAATGGCAGCTATGATGGTAATTGGGTGAGAGCCAAGGTTCTCCATCACCGGATCCCTGCCCACCTGCCCCTTTCTTTCCTACTGTTCCTCCTTCTTGGTGCCGGCTCCGCAGGTTGCCAAGTGAGGCATGAGTATCCACTCTGGCCTCTGCCCGCGCCTTGAATGCTCACCCTCTCCTTGCGTGCCTTCTATCCACACGGCCAACTCTGAGGCATCCTCAGGGTCTCTCTGACTCCAGAAATGTGCCCTTGTCATGGTATCTCTACAAAGGGGGGATGGGGTCAAAGAAAGAGGGCGGGGTCTAGTGCCCAAGAGCCCCCTCACCCCCTCACTGAGCCACTCGCAGGACGCTGCTCTGGGGCACTGCTCCTGCTGCCTCTGCTCCAGACCCTCAACGGGGAGCCTTAGTCCAATGGCAGAGCCAATGTTCACATGAGCAACCGGCCCAGAGTGGGCTGGGACATGGGCCAGGACTCAGTTTGACCTTGGCAGTGAGTTCATTATGCATCGTATCCTTTCAAGGTATCTCTCAACTCACCAATATGGACCCACCTAGAAAAATCCCTGCAGGCTGTTACGACTGTGGAGACGGCTTCTATGACCCGACCACGCGGGTGGTGAAGGACTACAAGGATCGCTTTCTGAGAAACGCAGGTATGTCTACTCTGACACTCTGCACCACATGTGTTTCTCCTCCCTCATCACGCACAGGTTTGTGCACGTGTGAGCACACACATGCATGTGGTAGGTGAGAAAGAGCTTTTGCTGATAAGAGACAAAAACTGATTATCTGAATGTGTCATTCTTTGAAATTCTCAGGACTGTCAAGTCTGTACACAGTCAGAGAGGGAGGGAAAGGACGTCATGGCCTGACTGTGCCAAGGGATTAAAGTGCTTATTTTTGCAGGCGCCCCTTCACCTAGTATTTAATGAACACCTACTGTATGCTGGACACCGTGCTTGGCGTGAGCAGCAAACGTGGCAGAGCCAGGAGCAAACCCCCTCCTTCACGGGGCTTATCCTTCGACAGGCAGCAGACAAGTACTTTAAACAGCTGATTGCATCGTGGAATGAGCGCAACGAAAGGGGAAAGACGTGGCCCTAGATGCCGGGCAGGGGTGGTTCTCAGAGAGGTCGGAATGATTCTGGGGGAGCACAAAGAAGGGGCACCTCATCCAGAACTGGAAATTCGGAAAGGGTTTCAAGAAGTACATGACAGGTAGCTCAGTTGAGTCCTGAGACCCACAGGACAAACTGAGAGTTGGCCACAGGCATGTGGAGAGGTTTTCTGGTCGGAAGAGACCACACAGGTAACAGCCTAGATGTGCGTCCTACCTCGCAGTCCAGGGAGGCTGGTGGCCCCTCAGTAGGGCAGGGTCCAGAACTGCAGTTTGGCAAGTGAACACGAGCTGATCGGACTGAGCAGGACTGAATGACTGTGACCAGACTAGCGAGGAGCCAATTTACAAATAAGAACATGAGCATTTTCCTTTAACACAGTGATTCCTACCCTCTGTCTTATCTAGAGTCTCAGTCCTGTTAAGAATAACAAAAACAATGGACCTCTTCCTGGAAAAATGCCCGCTAGCACACAAACACAAGCATACATGTGTAGACACACACACACATAATCTTAAGAGGTCGATGGTCCCTCTAAAGATCCAGATCGAGAAACTCTGCTGTATAATGAGAAAGACACTGCCAGGTAGACCAGAAGGCCTGTCCCGGCTGATGCGAGCATTCTACACAGTAAGTCTCCTATACTGTATAAATCATTTTGGAGCATCTGTATGGAATCAGGGTTCCATGGAACATATTTTGGGAATTCTGTGTCAGTGTAACCATTCTTCAGTTGCAGTATGATGCCACTGACTCATGTTCGGCTTTTCCAGTCTTGCCTCACGTGACATCCTGGTCCCGAGGAGATTCACAGTCTAGTGGGAAAACAGGCACAAAAACATACAGTTACAATATAATGTGATGTAGGCCCCGGGCGGGGGAAGCCCTAAAGGATGAAGGGGGATTATGGAGGAGAACTGATCACCTGGCCGAGATAAAGGGTATCAGTCAGAAAAAAATGGTACCACAAGTGAGAGAATTTCATAAACAGGAAGGGCATTCCTGGCATTCCTGGAAGGGCATTTCAGGCAGAGGGAGCAGCATGTGCAAACACACAGAGGCACAAAAGCATGGGGTGACTGAGGAATCAGAAATTGTGTTCTTAGACTCCTGTAGGCAAAAGCTGTGCTTGATGAGAAACTTAAAAATGCATGATGGGGAAGAACGGTTGGGGTGCAAGGATGCTCAGGGCAATGAAATATTCCATGTGCTGTAATGATGGATACGTGTCATCACATATTTGTCCAAACCTGTGGTATGTACAACACCGAGAGTGAGCTCCGTGTGAACCATAGGCATTGGGTGATTACGGTGTGCCAGTGCAGGCTCACCAGGTGTAACAAGTGCACCACCCCGGTGGAGGATGGCAATCGTGGCGGGCACGGGGCCTGTGCATATGTGAGGCAGGACGCATGTGGAAAATCTCTGTATCTTCATCATCTCAATTTTGTCGTGACCCTAAAACTACTCTAAAAAGTTAAGTCTTTTTAAAACACATCATGGGAAGGGAAGGCCATTCTTGGGAAGTCTGGAGAAGGATGGGCATTGACGGTTGTCTGGTCAGCACATGCTTAGTGACCAGTGGCCGTGGGCCTGGCTTCGTATCAGGCATGAAGGTGACAGCAGCGTCATAGCGTCTCCTGTCTCGGAGCTGGGGAAGCAGATGGTGAAATGGGCCGTAACCACAGCAAGGTGCCGCAGGAGAACCTAGCAGGGAGACCTGACGCTGGGGGCCAGCAGGCTAGGGAAGTTTCCTGGAAAAGGCACAATCTGATGTGCAGCCTAAACGAGGGCAGGCAAGTGCGGCAGGGTTGGGACAAGGGTTCAGGCAGAGGGACAGCACTTGGAAGGATTAGAGAGCGGGAGGACCCTGCACATCTGGGGGCCACAGGTGGTCCAGAAAGTGATGTAACAATGTCAGGAGAAGAAGAGCAAGGGAGGAAGCCCGTGAGGTGGGAAAGGTGAGGGCAGCAGGAGAGACCATGGGTGTCTTTTCATTCGAGGGCAGCGGAGAATGAGGGAAGACTCCAGCTAGGTAGAGTAGTAACTGATTTGTCCCTTAGAAAGATTTCTCGGGTTACTTATGGAGAAGGCACCAAAGTGGGTTAAAGTTAGATAGGAGATCCTTCTGGCTAGATGTCAAGAGAGGGACATCTGAAGGACCCCAGGCCCATGGTGGTGGCACAGAGACCTGGGTTTGAGGTCCTGGCCCCCCCTCTCAGGCTGCCTGCTGGCTGACCCTGGGTCAGTGCCTTCTCTCTCTGGGCCCCTTTCTCTTCATCTGTAAAATGAGGGAATTGGCCTGGATAATTTCTAGGGTCCTTCCAACCTTAAGAGTCTGAGATGGAGGAGAAAGGCAGCCAAGGGGTATTTTGGTTCTGATATTATAGGACAGATCAAGTTCAGAGTGTCCTGAAAAACCACTAACAGGAAGTCTCTGTTCACCACTACCTAATCATTACCCTTGAGTCACCCTGCCAGGGACTGATGCGGGCTTCTGTCCGTCTTCTGTTTTCCCCAGGGCCCTCTCTCCCCTGCATTCCGGTCTGTCCCCATAAACAGTGCTTCCTGTTGGCGTCCTGAAGGCACAGGGGTGCGGCCATGCTGGCCTGAGGGGGGTGACTAAGGCCATCCCAGAGTAAACACCATGGCCCAGGCCATTGCAATTATGAAGTGCATGCCACCTGGGAGGGTCAGAGCCTGGGATGCTCATTTTATAGGAGGTCACAGGCTGAGGCACCAAGAAGGGTCGCCTGTGGAGCCTCTCTGAACGGCCTCAGCTCTGCCCCCATCTCGCACTGGCTTCTGTCCCCAGGCAGAGGAGCTTGCTTTCAGCCTGACCGGGAAGCCCTGGTGCTAAGCTGCAAGCTGCAAGCAGGCTTGGCCAATCTGGGTTTGCTAGACCTGGGTTTCTGAGAATGCCTTTCTTAACTGGGAGGATGATACCTGCTTGCTGGACAGCTGAGAGAATTTAAATCCATCCTGTCACCCATCAAAAAGTCTGTGAGTGCCAATGATGTGCCAGGCTTTGGGGATCCAGGCAGGCAAGAATCCTCTGGGAGTGTGGCTCTCAAACCTTTGGACCCTGGCTGGCAGGAAGGAACAATATATTTCACAACCTAGTATACACTTAAGCACATGCACACATATGTATGTATTCTTTCTATGTGTGATGTACCATTTTAAAATGCTGGTTGCTATGTACAAAATTGATTTCACAACCCTCTTAAGGGTCAGGACCAGCTGTTGGTAGACCATTGTTCTAGGCAGCCTTCTATAACCAACCTGTGTCTGCCTCCCTTCCTCACCCCCTCCACTGCCCTGTCTGGGCACGTTGTCTCTTCTCTGTGCCCCCACAAGCCTCACTCTCAGCACTTGGCCCATGACACCAGAAGTAGCTTTATTTGCCTATCTCCCCAACTGGGGTAGGAGCTCCTTGAGGGCAGGTACTACATGACTATGATTCGTCACTGCGTCCCCTGTACACGACTCAGAGCTGATCATGGAAGTTGGCAGGAGGGCAGAGGACCTGCCCACAAGTCCCTCATGGTCTTCAACAAATCATACAAAGTCAGCCCCTGGCACATAATAAACAACTTGTTATTTTGAGTAATAAAAACAATCCATCATAGTCGTGTGCCACTTAACGGTGGGGAATACATACTGAGAAATGCGTCGTTAGGTGATTTCATGTTGTGCAAACAAGACTGCACTTACCCAGACCTAGGTGGTCTAGCCTACTGCACACTGAGGCTGTATGGTAGAGCCTATTGCTCCTAGGCTGCAAGTCTGCACAGCATATTAACTGAACAAAACAATGCAGATTAAACCAGTCACAAGAGGAAATGATGCAAAGCACATGGACAAAGCCAAAGCAGGGTAGGAATGAGGGTGGGAGGTGGGGATGCATGGGGTGGGGAGAATGGTGGGGGAAAATGGAGACAACAGTACTTGAACAACAATAAAAAAAGGGAATACCAAAAATAAAATAAAATAAAATAAAATAAAATAAAACCTTTTTAAAAAGAGGCACGGCAAGCATGAGATGCATGAGCACACTAAAATAATGATGGGAGCTCCGAGGTTGGTGCACACATGGAGATACAAGGGTCCCAGCAAAGCAAGAATGGGCGAAGTGGTGAGAAGGGCCAGTGCCCGTGTGGTTTCTGATGGAGTTCTAATCCTGTTCCCCCTCCAGTGCAGTGCTGAGGGAGGACTACAATTGTCTCATTGCAGAAAGAAGGTCCAGCTAGTGAATCTCTGAGGAGAACCTCATGCTGCATTCTGGCGGGTATATATGTCTGGCATAGACATATACTTGAAACAGAGTTGAGGTTATTGTGGGTAGGATCCAAGATAGCAGAGGAGTAGGTGGAAGCTACGTTAGCCTCCTCCCAGGACCAATCTGGAATTACAACTAACTGTAGAGAAAGCATCATGAATAACCAACCGAATACTAACTGGAGAGAAGCCTTACAACCACAGACAAACAGAAGAAATCACCTCACCACTACGTGACTGGTAGGAATTGCAGT